TGCATTTAAAAGTCAATGTTTTTTTGAAATAATGCAGTACCTAGTATAGGATGTAGAATGTAGATATTTGTTTGAAATAACTAAAATGTTCTTGATTAGATTGCAAATACCGGACATAATCAGCATCAGGGATATTAATATATTAAAACACAGAATCAATAAAAAACGTGATATTAGATACATATTTAAAATTAAAAATACCTTGTAGATGTATATTGTATATTGTACTATGCTACCTACTACATACAATTGAAAAGTGCTTATAGTTGTTTCACATTCTATCAGAAATGTTCTAAGACAATACCTTGGGGCATTGCAATAACCAGTAGTACCCTTGACAGAAAACCGAATTTGCACTCCCTTATACAATATTACGCTAAAAATAAACGACAAGTTTTTTTTTGTAAATTTTCATATTTTTATTGAGAATACCACTCGACAAAATAACGCCTTTCGTATAATTGGGCCCCAGGCAAATATGCCCTCTTTCCAGTACCTAACTACGGCCCTGACAAAACCTAACTGTCCGTGTTAGGTATATACATTTATCCTGTGAGTGTGATTGTGTGAGCAATTGATGCTTAGAAAATTAACGATATGATAAAATGGTTAATGAACGTAATGAAATTTTATTATGTATAAGGCAGTTGGTACCTATTAGTGACAATATAGGTATTGTTATAAAAGTTGTCGTTATACATATATGTATTTTTTTTTACGCGTAATAATAAGTTACTGTGATGTATATCCATATATATTTTTTTTTTACTATACGTAYATTATTTTATGAATTATTATTATTGTCATCGTTATGAGTACATCTTAATTCTTTATTTTTTTAAATAAATATTGGCATATTATTCCTTTTTTTGACGCGTAATTACTGTGATATATTATAAGAGTTTTTTTACTATAGGTATACGTATTAAGTTATTATTAATGTTGGTAAATTTATTTAAATACTTGTGTTTGCTTAAAGAAAAAATATTTAAAGTGCGCAATCGTGTTGTTTTTTTCTCAAATATAAAAAGGTAAAAAGTCCGCAATCGTGGTGCATCGAAAGTTGGCAACATTTCCTATCAATACTAAATAGAAAATAATTACCTTAACTAACTCCTGTAAGTATTTTTAAACATATAATTTACGTATATAATGGGAGACTAGTAGCGATATCGAGAATGTGCATGCGTTTGGGATGGATTGAAAGAACACGATTCATCATTAATATATAAAAAAAACTACCAACTGATAAATGGTTATAGCAGAAACAATAAAAAAGTTAATCGATGACAATAATTTAAATGTGTCGCGCACGATGTGTAAAATAGTGTTTGCGGTATTAATATTTTTTACAACAGCTCCATAATATATGATATATTATGAGTGATACGATACATATTGTTATATTATATAGGTACCACAGTGAATGGGTTACCTATTTCTGATGTATCTTCCTCACTTAATTACCTGGATATAATTAATCCCAATTTGATTTTTTCCGTTCAGGTCGGCGACAGGTAGTCCTATCTGTGCTCCAGCGTCCACAAAAGCATCCGCTATTTGCGTCTTATATGGCACGTCGATCACTGACATCAATCCATTATGCCCATGATAATTCACATCAGAATTGGATAGGTTTGCATTTTCCAATTTAATAAAATATTTCATCACCTCCTCGTTGCTCCATCCTGTTACGCGTAGAAACATTTAAAGTTGTATAAAAATGCATATCCCGTTTGAATGAAAGTTCTCCTATAGTTATATTTATGTATATATATATATATATATTACCTGTATTGCCCATTTCCGCCCAATTATCATAATCCTTTCTGTTACCACGTGTATATATCATATAATTCAACATACTACTACCTCCCATTACTTTTCCTCTGGGAAATTTACACCGTTGATCTTCGAAACCTATTCAATTTTATAAAATGTGATAAATTAATAATGATTAAAATATGTACACACGTAAAAAACGGTTTCTCACTTAAACAAGAAGTGTTCATTGGTACAGTCTTATACTTCCAGTTGTATTCTGAAGCTTGCAACAACTGAGCTGTTATGGGTACGTCCATGAAATGTATTGCATTTCCTCCAGCTTCGATTAATAACACCTTCCAGTTTTTAATCTGCCCATAAATAATTATGTCATGATAAATTTATACCTTACTGACTTTAATTATAACGTGTATATTACTTCGGACAATCTACTAGCTACTACTGCTCCAGCACTTCCAGCACCGACTACGATAAAGTCGTATGCTGAATAAATTTTGTTCATATCCTTGGGTTCCTTTGACTCCCATTCTATAGTCTCTACAAGGTAGTTCAATGTTGATTCAAATAGAGTTGGATAGTCTGTATTTTTTGACGTTATTAGAGTACATCCGTTAAAAATTATAATTACACACAAGATCAGTTGAAGTGATTTTGAAAACATTTTAAAAGTAATAAACGTATTTAAATACTTTAATCTTTTTCACTACACTGTAATATTAACAGAAAAAAAATCAAAAAAATCAGAAATAGGTAGCATGGAACATCAGAACCGGAATCAACGAGAACCGGTGAAACTACTACGACGTGCTGCCGTGATCTGACTAAAGTTTTGAATCGATACAGCAAGACGAGTGGGCTAAGATTGATTATACATATCGATATCCACCACCTGTGTAAATATGCTATTAATGTTTAATAAAGAATCTGATAGCTAGTTACACTGCGCAGATAATCGGAGTCGTTATTTATATAAAGGGTAGGAACTGCAAAATAGTATGCACTTCAAGGTTAATAATTGTGAATTAATACAATGTATATACATATAGTTACGTTATAACAAAGATAATAAACAAAGAAATTTCTCAAAGCACACGCCACCCTCATTTTTCATTTAATAATGAATCTATTCAAATTCTGATCTTAGGAATATAATATATTTAATTCTTAATGACCTTATTTTAAAATACATAAAACACGTATAGGTACTTTATTATAGTATAGTTCCTGTAACGATACTATAGATATATTTATTTTTTTAAATTAAACATCGCCTTTTTTTCCTGTAAATTGTTAAGACAGCCGCATGCGGTATTTATTTAACTCTGGCATGCAGCATTATAAGTTATAATAATTTTGTAATTGTAATTTTTTGTTAAATTTTAATATAGCTAGGTACCCATAACTAGCTTTCAAATTTAAATTTAAAACCTCTAAGATTCAATAGATAATATTCTTAATTCTAAATTTTATAATAGATCAACAAAATTAAATGGATTATCCAGAACGTTATGTAATTTACTATGTTACACGTTTATTATGGAGAGACAATGTTATGCAGTTGTAACGTTCTCATAATATAAGTAGATGATTTTTTGAAAATGTTGAGTTATCTAAATAAAAATTCGAATAGTAGTTTTAGAAATTTTCTGAGTATATATAGAGTACCAAGTACCATAGATTAAATATAATATATATTATATATAGTAGGTATTATTAATCCATTTTTAAGGACTATGTGTTTATTATTCTCATTAATATACACCTCAGAAAGTACACGTCGGAATTTTGATTTAAATATATCAACATTTTCAAAAAAAATTATCTGTTTCACYGTTTCATATATATACAGTGTGATCACGATAAGTGGAAACACTCAATAACTATGTGCAGGCTTCATATATTTCAATTCTGCTTTTTCGGCTAACTAATAAACATTATTATACACATTTTCAAATAAT